GTATGGATCAAAATTAATTTTATATAGATATCCAATTGTTCTAGCACCATTTGTTGAAAAGACTGTCCTTTCTCTACAGAATTTTCTTTACACCTTTGTCAAAAATCAATTGACCACATAATGTGTGGGTCTATCTCTGGAGTCTATTCTGTTCCATTGACCTATTTGTCTATCTTTGATGCCAATACCACAGTTATAAGACTTCATACTGAATCTTGAAAAGCCAGGTAGTGTAGGTCTTAGACCTTTGCTCTTCTTTTGATGTACTATTTTCTCTGGCTGCTCTTAAGATTCTCTCTTTTATTACTGTATTTCAGCAATTTCAGACGTGCATTGGGGTGTGTGTGTGTGTGTATGATGCTTGGGATTTGTTGAGCTTTGTGGATTTTTGCATTTATAATTTTCATCAAATTTAGATTTTTTGTTTATTATTTCTTTAAATATTAGTTCCTGCTATACTTCTTCTAATACTCTAATTATATAGCCATTTGATATCCCACAAGTCACTGAGGATTATTCATTTTTCAGCTTTTTTTCCTGTACTTTAGTTTGAATCACTTCTATTACTATGTTTCCATATTCACTATGCGTTCTCTGTAGGGTATAATCTTCTCTGAAACTTATCCAATGAATTTTAATTTCTGACATTGCATGTTTCAGTTCTAGAAGTTTCATTTGGTTCTCTGTTTCATCTTACTGTATCTCTTAATTGGTTTCATGTTTTTCTCTACATCCTTAAGCATATTAATAATAGCTTCTTGTAAGCCCTTGAATGCCAGTTCCATCATCAGTCATATCTGGATCTTTTTCTATTGATTTTTCTTTTCTAGTTATGTTCACATCTTCATGGTTCTTCATTTGTCTAGTAATTTTTGATTGGATGCTGAACATTGTGAATGTTATGTTGCTGAGTGTTTAGTTTTTGTTTTCTTCCTTTTTTCTTTTTTTTTTTTTTGCGGTACGCGGGCCTCTCACTGTTGTGGCCTTTCCCACTGTGGAGCACAGGCTCTGGACGCGCAGGCTCAGTGGCCATGGCTCACGGGCCCAGCCGCTCCGCGGCATGTGGGATCTTCCTGGACTGGGGCACGAACCCGTGTCCCCTGCATCGGCAGGTGGACTCTCAACCACTGCGCCACCAGGGAAGCCCTTGTTTTCTTCCTTTAAAGAATGATTGGCTTTCTTCTGTCAGACAGTTAATTTACTTGCAGATCAGTCTGATACTTTTGAAGTTTAGTTTTACTGTCTGTTAGATCGGGTCCTAGGCTTGCTTTCACATTAGTGCTAGATGGGCCCTATTCCTAATGCATGGCCATTCTGGGGTCTCTACTGAATGCCCTGGGGTATTCAACAAAGTCTTTCCGCTCTGACTGATTAAACTTCAAATGTCTCCCAGCCCTTTGAGAGATCTAGTAGTTATTCGATTTTTAGCTCAAGAAGTTTCATCTGATATATTCTTGGCTTAGTATTCATCCATAGACATGAGAGAAGCCCTCTGTAGAGTCCTAGATCTTTCTCCCCATAGTCCTCTCATGTCTGGTTCTCTGCCTCTGAAGTCCCAGCTGCCTTGGCTTCCCTCTCTTCTCTCTCTCTCTCCTCAACTCAGCAAATGTGTGCCCTGCTCTGATTCCTCTTCCTTGCACTGCACTTGAGGAAGTGCCTCCAGACAGGAAGCCAGGTTATAGAGTTTCCTTATTTGTTTCTTTTCCTTCAGGGATCAGAGTTCTGCTCTGTCTGTTGTCCAATATCTGAAAACAATTTTTTCATATAGTTTGTCCAGTTTTCCCCAGGGACAGAAACAGCAATCTAAATGCTGTTTTTATTTTTATTTTCTCTCAGAACCTTGAATTTACCATGTCTCTGTCTTTGGGTTTCCATTGTTGCTGTTGACATGTCTGTGGCCAGTCTACCATATTTCACTCACTCTAAGACATCACTGAGTATATGATCCATCAATATTTTATTACCAGTAAGAAATACTCTGTCATTTGTCAATTAGAATTGTAATACTCTATAAATAAGATTGGTCCCAATGTCATGCATGTTAAATGGTGAGAAAATATGCAACTTAGAATTGATGAAATATGGTAACTGTTGAATATCTGTCTTTTACTTCTCTATCTTTGATGTCTTCTTGTTTCATCTGATATGTTTATGTGTGATTCTTTTTATTTATGCTGCTTACTATACGTTGTTTCTCCTAGATCTGAAATTTGGCAACTTCGAACTATTGTGAAAAATTCTCAGTCATCATCTAAGTATAGCTTCTCCTCCACTTTCTCTATTTTCATCTTGTGGAACTCTAACTAGACAGACGTTAGACTTTCATATTCTATCATGTGTGCCTCCAAAGCTCTCTCTCCTATTTGTTATTTCCTTGTCACTTTGAGTTGCATTTGGGTAATATCCTCAAATCTGTCCTTCAGTTAACTGATTTTCTCTTCAGATAATTGATCTGCTATATGACCCATCAATTGAGGTTTTTATTTCAGTGATTATATTTCTTATTTCAAGATGTTTTAGTTGATTCTTTTTCAAATGTTCCTGGTTATTTTGTTTGACTTTTGTTCTTTGAACTCTTTTTATTCCATTTTTATTTCTTTTAACATTTTTTGTTTATACATGATTAACTTTAGTCTGTGGATTATGTGTCTACTATCAGAAATACTTCAGTATTTAAATTAATGTTACTCTTCAGAATCTCACTTATATTGCATTATTTCTTCGTGCCTGTGGTAATTTTTATTATGAGCTCATATATGGTATACGGTGATGGGCCTGGATTGAAGATGCTTTTTCTCCAGAGAACATTTGCATCTGCTTATTCTGGGCTCCAGGGGGCGATACTAACCTGCAACTATTTTAATTCAGTTTGATGGGTGAGTTTACTTTGGGGGCAGTGCAAATTTGAACCCCAGACACACATGGGAGTAGTCCTCTGGCTACAAATTCTCAGGAGAAACTATTTATTTATATCATTTGTGGTTTTTCCACCCAGAGGCAGCAGGTATGAGCAGGTTTTCTTCATTGGTCCACTGAACCAGCATGAGTCCCTAAAACTTGAAGTTCATGTTATAGGTGGTTGTATCCTGTGGAGCTCAGATTTTTGTGTTAATACCCACTCTGTTTTGGGCTGATTATTCTTTTTTGTGTGTGGGAGGTGTGATTATTCTTTTTATGTGTGGGATATTTCCCCGTGGGTTCAGCAGGGCATTTTAAGTTTGTTGTAAACAATCCCCCATCTCTGTACTTTGATCTGAGAGGGTGGTCCAGTTGAGCTATCTAGCTGAGCATGATATTGGGATCCCAATGTCTTGTATTATTTTTATTGTTTCCTTTATTACTTTAGGTCTGTAATCCATCTAGAATTTACTTTTGTATTTGAAATTAGATTGGAGTCCATCCTTTTTCTTCTCAGGTGGCTAGCCAGTTAGCCGTATTGATTAATAATTCATTCTCTTCTTTTTTCTGAATTAAGCTATTATGTTTGTCATAAATTAACTAACACATATTCTGGGATTTAATTTTGGTTCCATCTTCTGTTACACTCATGTATTCATCCATTCCTCTATCAGCACCTTACTGATTAGATTCCAGTGGCTTTATGTACAGGCTGATGTAAGAAAATACAAGTCTCACTTGAATATTCTTCTCCTTCACAATTTTCCTAGCTAATCTCAAGGATTTATTTTAAGAGAATATTTTTTACTCAGTTTTGCAAGGAGGAGATCTCCTCCTGTATTTGCTGCATTTAATTAGACTGAATTGAGAAGCTGCATGGGGAGGTAGAAGGAGCTTCATTTGGGCAAGCCACTCTCCCTCTCCAGGACTCAGTTTCCTCCACTGGCAAAAAAAAGGGCTGGTACTCAGGATTCCTGGGATCCTTTCCTTCTCTGGAGTCCCAGTCCAGGTTGACTAAGCCCTGGGGCTTCCCTGTGGGCATGGACAACACCAGTGGTAAGACCAGCTATTTATGTCATTAGCCGCGAAATACACACCAGGCACCAGGCGTGGTACTCAACAATTCTATACATTCACCTCTCACAGCATCTCATTTAATCCTCAAACATCCCTGTGATGCTATTAATATTATCTTTATTCTACAGAGGAAGAAACTGAGGAACAGAGACCTTTAGTGGCTTATTTGTTGAAGCCATTGGTTGGTTAAAAATAAAAACAAGGGAAAGGAGTGCGGAGCTGTGGGGAGTATGAAAAGACCAAATTATGTATTTACATGATTACTGCTCATTACCCTTGATACATGCAGAAAACCTCAGAAACAATAACTGACACATTTCTTGACTGCCTCTGATGTACTTTAGGAGTATTAGGTCACTGATCCTACAACCGTCCTATCTAATGGGCACTAGTATTATCCCCACTTCTCAGATGAAGAGAGTGAGGCCCAGAGAGGTGAAGTAACCAGCCCAAGGTCACCCAGCAGAGGTAGGCTGGTGGACTCAGACCGTGTGGCTCCAGGGACCGTTCCTTCCTATAGGTAACCTCTAAATTACACACAGAGAGTGTGTGGAGCCCATGACTGCCTTCGGGTCACCTGCCACAAACCGAAAGGAGACATGCGAACGTGGAAGTGTTGCCACTGGAAGGCGGGTGGAGCTCGTGGCTATCTCTAAATGTTTAGAATTATCTTTTAAAGTGCATTTTGAAATTTTTTTTAACGTAAAGGAGGCCCTCCAATGGGTTTACAGGTGGTTGGTTTTGAGGTGCTGGATTCCGCGAGAGGGGCTGGCTGCTCTGGATTTTCTAATTTCGCCACAATGCTAATGTATTATGCATTCTTGTGTGCCTTGAAAATATTGAGACGTATAAATAGGGGCACTTACGTAACTGACGGGGCGGGTGGAGGGACCCGCAGCCTCAAAGCGGGGTTTCGGCCGCGGGGCGGGGCTGCCCTGTCCTCCGCCCCTCCCGCTCTGGCCCCGCCCAGACCCCGGTTGCTCCGAAAGCCTGGAGCCCGGAGCTCCCCCGCGCGGCTGGGACTCTCGACCCACGCGTCCGCCCACGCCTCAGCGGCCAGACGCAGTCCAAGGCGGACAAAGCCCGCGTCCCTGTGACGGGCAGCAGCGCGGGGAACGACGGCTCCAGAGAGCCCGCCCACGGCGTGCGGGGCGGGGCGGAAACGGAGCCGAGGGCGCGGGGCGGAGCGGCAGGCGCTGGGCTGGCGCACCGGGTGGGCCGACCCCGGAGCCGCCGGCGCGGGGTGGTGGCCCCGGCGGGCGGGCGACATGCAGCGGGACAGCGGCCAGGCTGCGGGTCAGTGGCTGGACTTGCGGCCCCTCCCCTCTGCCGCGCGCGCCCCGCTCCCCGGGAGTGTGGGGGGGGGTTGTAACCGGGACAGGGTGGGCGCGTCCCGGTGCAGCCCAGCCCAGCGGCGCGGGTGTGAATGCCCGGGGCGGTGCCCAGGCCCTGGCACGTGACTGGGGCCTGCGCCGGGCCGGTCCGTTCCCCGCGCGTCCCTCGGCGCAGGTGCCCGTCTGTTCCCCCGCCGCCCCAGTCCCCGCTCTGGTGACCTCTTCCCCGTCCCTGAGACCCCCCGCCCGAGAGCGGGTCCGGCGCCGTCCGCGGCCGCCAGTGCTGAAGCAGGGGCGGCCCTGGCTCCGGAACCGGCCTGCGATCCCGGCCCGCCGCCACGGTCACCAGTCGCTGCTGGGGGCGGACGCGTGCGCGTCAGGGGGCGACTCTGGTCAGGAGAGCTGTTGCGTTGTGCGGCGCTCGGGCCGCGCGCTCGGCTCAGAGAACCTGTACTCACCTGTCCCGTGTAACGCCCTGGCGACCTGGGGGCGGGGACTGTGCTCCACAGTGAGAAACAGAGGGCTTTCAGTGACTTGAACGAGCCCCTCGGGTAGTTAGGGGAGTAACCAGGATTCGAGTCCAGGTCGGTGGGTGTCAGAGCTTCAGCGTCTACCGTGCAAATGTTGAAACTGACGCTGGAAAGATTCAGGTCTCTGTCCAGAACCTTCCCTTTATGCAGAAAATCCCGTTTCCCGACCTTGTATGATAATTTAGTGAAAACCCCGTAATTTGCTCCTGGCTGATATGTTTCTGTCACCTGCGGGCAGGTGGCATTCGAGCCTAAAGTTGAACTCTGAAGACTGTATTCTCACGTTCCAACGCAGACTCTGACGACGTTAGAATACTACCAGTTCTTGGCTATAGCCTGCTATCTGGGAGCCAGGCACTGTAATAGCCATGCCACCTCTTTGTAGTCCCATCTTACAGTTGAGAAAACTGAGGAACGAGAGATGATGTGCCTAATAGGTGGCAGAGCTGGCTCTGAGGCCAGACGTTTTGGCTGAGGCATAGGGGTGACCACTGCACTGTCCAGTAAGTGGGGAGGCCAGTGCCCCAGGGCAGGCACCACTTGTCTCTGGATTGAAGGGCTTGAGCAAGTCATAGACTATTCCACAGTCTCAGCATTAGGCAATCACTATGGCTTTTGCCCTCCAAGGAACTAGGACTTGGTATTGACCTAGAGCTCCCTACACTCTGCATTGTCAGCCACTGCTGTTTCTGCAGCCGCTGCCTGCAGCCTGGCACTGGTCCTAATGTCTGTCCACTGAATGAATGAATCGACTGAGAGCTGTCCTCCAAATGGGTTCCTTCCTGCTGTTCCTGGATCCTTGGAAAAGGGTGAAGGCAAGGCAGGGGAGATTTGGGGCTGCGCTCAGTGGGATCAGGGCATCAGCAGTCGGGCTGTACTAGATGGGAGAGGATTTCTGCTTGTTGATGAGATGGCTGGGGAGATGGGAAGAGCAGGCAACCCAAGGTGGGGGGTCCCATCTGCCCTGCCCTGCTGTGGACACTTGGGAAGGTCACTGACCTCTCTGAACTTCTTTCTCCATCTGTGGATATTGCCATGGTAATCAGAGTCACGCTGAAGATTAAACGGGATAATATGCTTAAAGGGTCTGCTTATCGTACATTTTCATCACCACCTTTTGGAGTTAGTTGTATCAGTTGGATGAGCGTGCAGCTGAATGAGTCATTAGGGCCCAGCCTCCTGGAGCTTCAGATGCCAGGCTAGGGGGCCTGGACTCCATGCCGAAGTCGGGGGAGCCATAGAGTGATATGAGCAGAGAGGGAGGTGGTGAGATTTTCACCTGTGGACCCAGAGGCAGGGATCCTCAGGAGGAAGCCAGGTCCTACGCTGCTGGTGGGCGTGAAGTGGGTCCAGCCTGTGGAGGGGTGTGTGCCAGCCAGGGTCCATCTGAATTACAAACACACATGCCCTTTGACCCAGCAACCCGATTTCTAGAGAGCCTACTGCATGCATGCTATGTGTGCAAACCAGGAGTATCCTGCATCTGTTACTAGGGGGCCGGTAACTGCTCTGTGGCCCGTTCACCAGAAAATGCAGCGGCTGTAAATGGGCTGGTGCAGAAAGAACTCAAAGACATAGTAAATGAAAGGAGTAAATTTAGTGCAGTGCAACTAGTTTGCCATTGTGTGGGGGACAGGAGTGTTTGTAAATGAACATACTAGCTCTGGAAGGGCATGTGAAGAGCCCCCTAACCGGTAGCCTCCAGGGAGGGGACTTGGTGCTGGAGGACCAGGGAGGGGCACTGTCTACCCTTTACCATCACCCTTGGGTACCCTCCCCCCATTTCTGAGCCATACCCACGAGTTATGGTTCAAAACAGAAATACCATTTAAAAAAACAAGAACAGCCCTAGTGATGGATTACAAGGCCTGGACCAGGCTTGGCCATGTGGATACAAGCCAAAGAAAATTCCAGAATGCTGGGTTTTGTCATCACTATTTGCCGCACTTCCCCTTCCCAGGAAGCTGAGAGGGAAGTCAGTGGATTCCTTCCTGTCTTCCCTCACTCTAAGACAAGTCAGCGTCTGGAGCTGTTTGGCAGGGGGCCTGCATTGTGGTTGTTAAGTAGTACTTAATGGGGTACTGATGGGGTCGCTCTTGAGCACGGTCACTTGAAAGTCATTACCTTCCCCTCCGCACGAGGAACCATAGAGGGTGCAGGTTAGAGGAGGAGGACAGACCGCTGGGCTGGCAACCAGGAGACCTGGGTTCAAGATCTCACCTGACTTTTCCCACCTGTGTGATTCTAGGCTTCTCTCTGGAATCACTTTGCTTCCAGGCACCTCAGTTTCTCCATCTACAAACAGGTGTGTGTGTGTGTGTGTGTGTGTGTGTGTGTGTGTACGTCGTGCATACATTTAATAGATCTGAGCTATGTATTGTCCCATTCCCACCTCTCTCCCATCTGTAAAATGGGATCATAATTACCATCCTGCCTACTTCATAGGGGATCAGGGGATAATTTGACCGCAGATAACCTTCTTGACATTCTCAAAGGATAGTTTTCTGTAAATGCACCAATTTAAAATGCCACTAAAATAACAGTGACATTACTGAGAACCTACTGAGGGCTGTGTGCTGCTCTGAGGACCCTACAAGTTTTAGTGTAATCCCCCACCCTTAGAATGTAAATTCCGGGGGGACTGGATATCTGTCTGTTCTATGCGCTGTTGTCTGCCGTGTCCAGCATATTGCAGGCATCCTGTAAATACCTGGGGGTGTGAACAGGCATTTCAACGACTCCATGAAGTTGGTCTGAAGTTTGCCCTAACCTTGTGAAGAGGAAGCCACGGTCCCGGCAGGTGAAGTGCGTTGCTGCTGGCGTGAAGCTGACTCATGGGACCTGGGGGCTGAACCCCAACGGTCTGAGTCCAGAGCCCACACTTCTAACCGTGACGCTCCGCTGGGCGAGGGTCCGTGAGGCAGGTCCAACAGAGCAGGACCTGAGGGCCAGCTCGGTTGCCCTGCTCACAGGGAGTGACTTGTTTCTGTGTAGCACCTCCCCTGTCCTTACCATCTGTGCCCCGGAGAAATGACCACCAGCTCAGGTTTTAGGCATTTGCTGTCACTTGTGGGCATTTGAAAACGCAAATGGCATATCGCAGAGTGCCTGGAGTGTTGGATGGACTCCAGGGGTGGTGGTGATTTCAATGTCTCTGACCTTATGTGCCGTTTCTTGTTGTTCTAGTGCCCATAGAATTCCTTCTCCCATCTCCAGGTGGGACAGGCAGCCTACTACCTGGGAGCTCCGTGATCCAGACGCGCTGCTGGGACCTGGTGTCTCAGCCCGCTCAGCACATTGTACTGGCTGAACCGGGGGACCCGAAGGAGCGGGACGCAGAGGAGCGAAAGGCAAGTGCGGCCCAGGGCAGGCACAGAGGGCCTCACGTGCTGCATTGGCATCGTGACGTGAGTGATAACACCCGCGTGTTTAGTGTGCTCTGTGCTCCGAGCTCTAGGCTGGCACTCCTGGGCATTGTCTCTTCAAACCCTCTCAACCCTGGGAGGCACAGAGAAGTCAAGGAACTTGCCCAGGGTCACACAGTAAACGGCAGAGCAGGATTCGATCTCAGAGAGCTTGGCTCCTGGGCCTAACTAACTATTCCAGGAAGCTTAGGGTTTCTGGTGTAGGTTCTGCGGTGAGGTGAGCAGTCCTCACCTGGGAGATGGCCCCCGTTCATTCTCTGTGCAGGAAAAGCAGCTGGTGAGGAGTGGAGTGGAGTGCACAGTGTGGCTAAGTGGGAAAATAAACCAGGACCTGGACTTTGCTGGGGGAGTTGATTGTAAAACCACAGGGGCCAAGATCCTTTTCCCAACCATGATTATAATCATCTGAGCTTTGATCTGGTTCCCAAATGATTGACGTGATTAGTTGCATAAACTGAAATATTTTTCTCCTTGGGATCTGCTCAGTTGCCTTGTAGAATCCTGTTCATTGGTATGTTCTTGAGTTTTTTTACCTTATCAGTAAAGAGAAGGAACATACATGCATCGAGCCTTGCTCTGTGCTGGGACTGTGCTGGCCCTCTACAAACCCACCCCAGTGCTGCCTTTTGTTGTGTCACAGTTAGGCTGCAGAGGTAAGGGGGGCTCAGGCTTACCTCTGAGCCAGGGAGTGAGCCCGTATCTGTCACTCAAGCCCCTCATACCTTCTGCTACACCCTGCTGACTCCCAATGGACGTATTCTTTGTAAAAGAAAATTCTGTGTATAAAACCAGATATCCAAAATTCACCGTCTGTTACAGTCTGAACATGAAAGCCCTGTGCTGGTCAAGAATCCAATTGAAATGGATCTTTTCCCCTTGAATTTTGCCAATCCACGGATTTCCTGCTCTCCTGCTGACTGCGCTTTTTTTGTAATCAGTCTTTCCTTGCTCAATCATGTTCTACTTCTGCTTTTCCTTTGAAACTAATGTACTCCAGTGTGTGGGAAATGCTCTCCATGTAGTAACACCTTGTGCTAATGATCAGCTCACTGTGTACGTGGCTCTATTTAGGGCAGAGTCAATTTGGTATAAATCTTGTGTGAGAAATTCAGCGAGAACAAAAAGCTTCAGAGAAAAGTATCCCTGCAGCCTTCCCAAGTGCCTTTGTCTCCGTAACTATGGTTTCCGGGCAAACGAAGAAAACACTCAGGAAGGATTTTCTTTTAATAAAGAAACTGAAACAAAGGACCAAAGATGGCAGTAAAATGATAAGCGATTTTAGTTTTAGTTTTGACTTATGAAACTAGAATATAGAGAAGTACAATAAATATCAATAAATGAACATGGTTCCTCCAATTAAAAACAAACAAACAACTTCCCCTGTGTGCTACAGCAGAGGAACTGAGCAGGCAGACAGGAGGTGGCAGCTCTGATGCACGGCTGGGCGAGCCGATCCACATCCCACGTGACTCCAGGCAGCTGTGGGGTCTCCCTCAGAAGGCGCGGCTCTAACAGAAGCCGCCAAGTGGCCAAGTCATTCATCTTTCTGAGTGTCTTCCTGTGGCGTGGGATGATTGACATCTTTGCTTCTGGTGGGGAATGTGAGACTCAAATTCAGGAACATGTGTGTTGGAAAGCTCCCAGTGAACTGGACTGTAGAAACGGTTTGAGTTTTTCTTGCATGGAATCAGAGCTGACCGCAGGACCCGGGAGCTGTCCAGGGTCCTGAAAGGCTTGTCCTTCACTTTCAGACTCCAGGGATCAGCAAGGAAGTGAACAAGGGAGAGTGTCATATCTTGTCATTTCTGAGTGTCATTTCTGTCATGCAGCTACAGCATGCCCAGCACCTTGCTAGGTGCTCTGCAGCAGTCTCTCTCTAACACACGTGGCTACTAGCCTGGCTCTTTGCCTCTGCCTGGCCCGAGCTCTACCCTCCTGTTCCTCAAGGCCCCATGCCAGGTGCTGCCCTGACCTCCTATGTCCTTTGGTCCCCAGCACATGTGGCCTGGCTGTGGCAGCGCCAGATCCTCACCCAGCCAGCCTGCTGGGCCACTGACCAACTTCGTGTCTCCTGGCCCTGGAAAGGCCAAAATGGGCATGTCTGGGAGGGAGTTTTGAAAACTGGAAAGCTGAAACAGTTGAAACAGAAGTTTTTAAGGCCACATTTTGATTACTCTCCACCATTAGTGGCGTGTGTGTGTGTGTGTGTGTGTGTGTGTGTTTGGTTTAGGAAAATTTGAAACTGAGACGTGAATGGAAGGGTGTCCAGGCTGTCATTCTGTAACTGTTATCCCTGTAATGAATTGTTGCCATTATTTACATGCATCAGACCTCCTGCATCAGACTGGGCTGCTTGAGGGCCAGGTCTGCGTCTTACTCAGCCCTCTAGCCTCCGAACATGGCACAGCGCCTCAGTGGCAGCAAGGGCACAGGCACTGTTGATGACCGAAGAAACGCAGTGAACAGAAGAGAGAGGGGCAGCTTGGGTCTCCCTCCCGAGAGCTGGCTGCCACAGGCGGGGTCTGCATTTGATTGTGGCAGCCTGCATTTAGTGAGCACTTACTAGATGCCTGGCTCTGTTCTAAGAAATACATGAATATTTCCACATTTAATCCTCACTGCAACCCACAAGGTTCAGACTTTTGTGATCCTCATTTTACAAGTGGGGAAACGGAGGCACGGGGATGTTACTAATTTACCTGAGGCCGCATAACAGGTAAGTGGCAGAGCTGAGATGGGAGCCCAGGCTGAGCACCAGGCAAGCTCAGATGTCTACGCCCTGTCCCCAGTGCTGAGGCCGGGCCCCACCCACTGTGAAGCGAGTTACAGAAACCTCACGTTGCCTTCTTGATTGCGCCCAATGTGCGTGTGCAGTCGTAACACAATGGGAGGGAATGTCCCCAGCTCCCCCGCCTTCTAGGGACACCAGGGCAGTGATGATGTCCTCCAAGCCTCGGTTCTTTCATCTTCAGGGCACGATTATTGCTACGCTGCAGAGCTGCCGGGAGGTCAGAAGCCGCGTGGGTAAAGTGTGATGTGGACACTTTAGTATGTTGCCGTATTGTAGGCTGTGATTCAAATATGGTAAATCATTGTTGACAATCCTGAGGTTTTCCTCTGTGTATTACTCTTTCAGAAAAGGAAAGGGGGCTGGCCTAAAGGCAAGAAAAGGAAACCCCCAAGGGACCCTCCTGTTCCCCGCGCTCCTAAGACAGGGTAAGATGGGGAGATTACCTGACTGATGTTAAGGTAACATTTTGGGCTCACCCTGTGGCCTCTGCTGTGTGCCAGGCCTGGATGGCCTCTTATCCCATCTCAGCCTTTGTCTGTTTTTCAGGGCCCTTGATCGTTACGGGGCCTCACACGCCAAGGAGTGAGGGAGGGTTGCTTAGTTCTTTAAGCTAGAATAAGGTTCTGATGCTCAAAGGAGAGCTGGGCTTGGCTCACAGACGGGAAAGGGGGTGGCTGTGAGGCCAGCAGGTCTGGTTTCCCTTTCAGGCTTGCAGATATGTATGCTCCACGGCCTCAGGGGAGCTAGTTAACCTTCATCAAGGCTCAAAATGCCCCCTCCCCCACCAAGTGCACTGAGACCGTCCGTCCCTTGTCCCCTGCCATCGGAGGCTGCAGAAGAGAGGCCCCAGGCCAGTCACTTCCCACTGCTCTGAGGGTCACTTTGCTCCTCTGGAAGCTTGTGCACTTTTCTCTTTTATCCTCGGGGTCCGCACATTTCTAAGGGTGAAGGTCTTTTCTCAGTTTTCCTGTAATTCCTGTGGACATGGCTTTTGTTCCAAAGACTGGTTTGTCTCACCCCAATGTCCACAGCCTCTCTCCCTCTCCCTCAACCCGAATCCCTGATCAGGAGGGTGGCCTGTACCTGGAGCATTTGGGCCGCACAACAACCTCATGAGCAGGTGGTGTTATATCCATTACACAGAGGGGAAAACTGAGGCTCGGTGGGTTGAGTGAGTTGCCCACTCAGTCTTCATGCCCCTCCCATTGCGGGGGGGTCCCCCTTAGGTCTTCAATCAGTCTCTGGATAAGCCAGCCATTCAAATATTTTCCCCTTTTTGATTAACCTCCATTTCACTGGTTAGATTGAAAAATATGGGCAAACCCATGACTGTTTATTTTTCTGAAAACCTGAAAGTGGAAGTAGCTGCAGCAGGCCCCGCGGCCTCCGCTCCAGCCGGTAGCTCAGAGCTGTTGTGTTTGTTCCATTCCTGGTGCAGGTACGTGATATTCCTAAATGAGCAGAGGAGCCCCCTGAGGGCCAGGCACCCAGATCTGCCTTTCACGGAAATCACGAAGATGCTGGCCGCTCAGTGGGCTCAGCTGCCCCCAGAGAAAAAGCAAGTAAGTCCTTTTCTGCGTGGAACGCGCAGAGGAGTGGGCCTAGCTGTCTGCAGCCTTGATTAGGGGCTGTTCCCTCCTGGTCTGTCTCTTCACACTGGAGCCAGAGGGAACTTGCCAGAACGCGGGTGGGAGGTGCCTCTCGCCCCACCCCTTCAAAGCAATGACTGGTCTCTGGCTTTGGCGTCCACCATCTCCCAAACTGTGTCAGGAGGAAGGGCGAATCCATGAAACGCGGCTAAATGGTCCAATAAGTTTAGGAAATTCTGGAGTAAATCAGGTGAAACAGATCTTTTTTTCCCCCTGCAGGAATTTCTTTTGGAGCATTTTAATATAATTTTATTCACTTAAAAATATTTCAGGCGAGGTCCATGCTCTCCTGGAATGAGATGTGGAAGGAGAGACGGAGCAGAGCACTCTAAGGGTGTGAGAATCTCTGTCCTGTCTCCTGTGAGGCTTTCTCAAACTAATTCCACCATGGAACCCCTTATACACAGAGCACCTGTTAGCCTCCTAGGGAAGTATGTTCTGGGGTCACAGGGGAAGAAACACTAACGTAGGGGATACAGTCATGCCTTTATCATGGCATTCATGTCCAATGTCAACTTCTGCCACCACCCCACCCCACATTCCAGTCACACTGATCAAGACACGCCTGCTTCAGCATCACTTCCTACGAAATCCCTCCCAAATTCCTTCTAAGTATGTCTGACCCCAGAACCCATACTTTTCCCAGAACTGCCTGCTGCCTCCGGAGTGTCCTTTCTTTGGGTTAAATGCAAAGACTCTGAGATGAGCTTCTTTAAGCCCCTGCACTTGCAACTTTTTAGCTGTAGAAAACCCTTGCTTCAAATTAACTATTGGGTCGGCCAAAAACTTCATTTCGGTTTTTCCATAACATCTTACGGAAAAACACAAACGAACTTTTTGGCCAATCCCGTGTTTCAGAGAAATCCTAATTTGGGGGCATGGTATCAACTAATAACATTCTTCTCCTTGCTACTCAGGTTTGCAACCATTCAGGAGGTAGATCCAGTAGCCAGTCAGACAACTGGAAGAGCCCTGGCTGTCCCAGTCTGGGCAGGCCCCCCGACTCTGGCTAAGAGCAGACTGGGGCCCTGGCTGTCTGCTGGAGCTAGGTCTTGGGGGGAGGAGAGAGGTGGGGCTCCACCAAGCATCTCTGGTTCTGGCTCCCAATTTACCCTTAGATAACCCCCCCCACACACACACATACACACACACTAGTTGTCCCTGGGTTACACCAGCTGGTGCCAGCCTCTGTGGCTGGAGATGAATCCAAGTCCCTGCCTTCAAGGAACTCACAGTCTCGGCTGTCGGGACCTCCGAAGTGGATGCATACAATCCATGGTGAGGGGTGCCTGGGACAGAGGTCTGTGCCAGGGGCAGGGGGTCTCCAGGAGGCACCTAAACCAGTGTGGGAGTGCCCTGAGTCAACCTGGGGGCATCAGAGAAAGATGCTCAAGAAGGTAAATGTTCTGTGATAGATCTTGAAGGATTAGTAAGATTTGGCCAGGGGAGGAAGGTTGAGACAGGTGTTAACTGATGGAGGGAAAACAGTAGCAGATGGGGTAGCTTGGGGCTGGGTCTGATTCGTCTCTATCACTAGTGCCCCACCCAGGACCCTGCACAGAGTTAAGCACTGATGTTTGCTTGTGTGATAATTGAATAGAATTGTAAGGTCTCTCAAGGCGGGGAGGGGAGCTGAGTGCTACCCTCCTCTACAGTCATCAGACCACACCTAGCAGAATGGTAAAAGCCACAGGGAGGCAGATTCCAGCTGATTGGAAGGGAAACTTTCTGTGGTCTGCATCATTCAAGTAAGGAATGAACTTGCTGTTAGGTAGTGAGGTTCCCATCCCAGCAGGTGTGCAAGTAGAAGATGAGCAATAGCTTCTTGGGACCATCCTAGAAAGACTGAGGCAAGTTGGACAAGAGGACACCTCCAGCCGCCCCCCCCTCCCCCGGATTAGGAGAGTCTCAGAATCTCTGTGCTCCTTCTTCCAGAGGTATGTTTATGAGGCAGTTGAAGACAAGCAGCGCTACATCCGAGAGCTGCAGGCCTACCAGAGCTCCAAGGCCTACCGAGCCTTCCTGCGCAGGCGGGCAGCGCACAAAGTGCAGGCGCTGTGCGGTGAGTGGGGCCTGGCTGGGGTGGGCTGCAGCTTCTGCCTCCCAGGCCTGAGGCTATGGGATGTTTTACAGCAGAAGGCACATTTGAAAAATGCTCTGTTAGTCTCAGCCTTGGTCAGCATTCACATCCTTATGTATTATGGATATTAACCCCTTGTGAGATATACTGTTTGCAGGTATCTCCTCCCGTTTTGTAGGTGCCTTTGCATTTTGCTGACTGCTGCGCAGAAGCTTTTTAGTTTGATGTAGTCCCACTTGTTTATTTTTGCTTTTGTTGCTGTGCTTTTGGTGTCATATCCAAAGCACTGTTGCCAAAACTGGTGTCTAGGAGCTTTTTCCTTACATTTTCTTCTAGGAGTTTTTTCAGTTTCAGGTCTTATATTTAAGTCTTTAATCCATTTCAAGTTCATTTTTGTGTATGGTGTAAAATAAGTGTTCAACTTCATTCTTTTGCATGTGGTTATCCAGTTTTCCCAACATCATTTATTGAAGAGACTATCCTTTCGCCATTGTGTATTGAATTCACTGAGTAGATCCTCTTTGAACACTTTAAGTATATACATTTTTAAACGTGTCAATTATACCTCTGCAAAGCTGGGGGAGGGGGAAGAGCCACGCCCCGAACAAAGCCGCTGGCATCACGGTCTCCCTTTGCGGCTCTTCTGGCCGGGTTGAGACACATCTTGTACCTGATTAAAGAGGAGGCATCTCATTCCCTCCTTCTCAGGAACGTCAGAGAACGGTCAGGTAGTGCTGGGCCAGTGATTACATTTTAGTCCTTAGAAAGAGGAAAGGAACCCGCAGTTATGGAACTCACTGCTTCTCAAGCTCGAAAGTACCCTGGATCACCAGGAGTCTTGTTAAAATGCGGGTTCTGACCCAGCAGGTCTGGGGTCTGCATTTCCAACACGCCCCTGGCGCTGCCGAGGCTGCTGGTGCAGGGACCACACTCTGATTACGTTGGGGGTCCACTTCCCCATAGCATCTACGTGGCACGTCCCCACGTGCCAACAGCATCCTACTGCAGGCCCCAGCATTGCCCAACTGGAGTCAGGCCTGATGTATCGGGAATCAACACACTGAGCATCCCTAAACCAGTGCGCACAGGAATGGCAAGAATGGCAGGTAAACACCCCAACTCCCGCAACCCGCCATGCTGAGATGTGTCCCATGCGCCCCCTCGAGGCTCCTGGTGGGACTGCGCCCTATTGACTGTAGTGGCCTCTGCTCAGCAAGGCCCCCCATACTGGCTTTCTCCCTTTCCCGACCCACTTCCCCACTCCTCTACCAGCATTTCCTGAGATCACTGTCCAAAAAAACCCCCGCTTGCACCAAGATCCTTGTCTCAGAGTGTGCCTCTGGGGGTGCAGGCCTAAGGCAGAGACGCGAACTCCATTTATTGTCTGCTGACCCTGCCTTCACCATGGAGGTCGCTTCTCGTTCACCGTCTTTACCATCCTTACTGGAAGCTGTATCAACTGCAGTGCCCACCAGAGGCCCAGTTTACATTCAGACTCAGGGCTGCCACCCCACCCGTGGCACATTCCCCTCCAAGGGGCACATGGCCTTAGGGCAGCATGGGGTGTCCTCACCAGTGGTGCGGGGTCCGTCACTGTCCATCCTGAGGGTTCTTCCTGCCCTCCCCATGCTGGGGGCTGACCGGCATCCCGGCAGAGCCCATCAGCTCTCCACTTTGCCGCTTCTCACTCCCGCCTGGGCCTGGCTGAGCGCTGCCTCCATAGTGGTCAGGTGTGGGCTCAGCGGTCCAAATGCCTGGGTCCAAATCCTGGCTCTGCCATCTTGCACAAATCACTAAAGCATTTAGTGCCTCAGTTTCCTCATATAGAAAGTCAGGCTGTAATAGGACCTCCTGCACAGGGCCTGGTGCTGATCAAACGAGTTAAACCATAGGAGCTTGGTGCTCAGTGCTTGGCACACAGCGAGTTCAGTAAGAATTCGTGCTTCCTACCCTTTGCACTGGGGCATGAGCCTCCCCCCTCTGCCACAGCTTCATCCAGAGTATCTGCAAACTTCTGTAAAGCACTAGATAATACTTTATTCTCTGTGGGCCCTGTAGTCTATGTCGCAACCACTCAACTCTGTGGTTGTAGCAGGAAAGCGGCCATAGACAATATGTTAATGAACGGGTGGGGCTGCGTGCCAATAAAACTTAATTACAAAAGCAAGCAGAGGGCTGAGTTGGTCCACAGGCAGCTCCACTCCGGCCCATTGTATTTCTTGGATTTCCACTTAACATTTGTTTTCAATCAAGCACCTGCAGATGAAAATAATCCATTGAAAACCACTGGTCTAGCATATAATTAGTATTAGCAGAGTGGGGTGTCCAGTGGTTCTGAGGGAGCTGTGAGGCCTCTGGTCCTCATGTGAATGTCAAAGGTAAGCCGATTGTGCCCTGAGACCTCTGGCTAAGAGTCTCCCCATGAGCAGCTGTCATTCCCTGTTCATATTTTTCTCCCTAAGAATGCTATGTCAGGGCTTCCCTGGCGGCGCAGTGGTTGAGAGTCCGCCTGCCGATGCAGGGGACGTGGGTTCGTGCCCCGGTCCGGGAGGATCCCACATGCCGCGGAGCGGCTGGGCCCGTGATCCATGGCCGCTGAGCCTGCGCGTCCGGAGCCTGTGCTCCGCAACGGGAGAGGCCACAACAGAGAGAGGCCCGCGTACCGCAAAAAAAAAAGAAAAAGAATGCTATGTCAGACTTCACAGAGAACACCGCATCGTGCTTAATGCTTCAGCCATGCTGGAGTTCTGCTGCCTTCTTATTTTTGTGCTTATTTGTAGATTGTCATCACATGACAAGCTGGCGTGTTACAAAGAAAGGCCGCCCCAAGAGAGCTTGGTTTTTAAATAAGATGTATTTCTGTCTTATTTAAAACACAGTAAAATTTAAAAGTTTACTATATAAAAATATAATAATTACAATAATAAAAAAATACCACTAGATTTTGCCATGCTAATAAAAAATGAATTGTGTATGTTTTTCCTTGTTTCTCTCTCATCTTCATTCCGTACCTGGCCAGGTGTTTATAAACTGAAGTCAGAGGTATCCGGTTTTTCCTCTTGGTTTATAATAAGGGATTTTCAGACCTCTACTGAAATTGTGCAGCTGAAGTCAAGCACTGATCCTCCAGCAGGAAGCATGGAGACCTCTTAGGATAAATCTTTTCAGCCTCAGAAGGCGCTTCTGACCCTTGAGTTGATGCTTCTGCAATAAGGCTGAGGCCTTTTCTGAGACAGGTGCTTTGTAAAATGATGCTGTTTTTTTCTCCATCAGGAACAGGTACACCAGGATGTGAGTTTGAGAGCGAGGGCCTTGACTTCTCAGCAATTGACGTAAGTATTCGCTGGGGGGGCAGGGGGATGTGGTTTTAAAATAATCACCCTCATTTGGTGTGGGCGGCTGAAAAATGGTCCCTCCCAAAGGATATCTGGGTCCTAATCCTTGGGACCTGTGAATGCTACCTTATATGGCAAAAAACCGGTGGATCTTTGAAATTGTGATCTAAGTTAAGATCTTGAGGGAGGGGAATTATGCAGTCACATGTGTCCCTACAAGAGGGAGGGAGAGGGACACTTGACACAGAAGAGGAGGAAGCCGTGTGACCACTGGCAGAGATTGGAGTGATGCGGCCACAAGCTAAGGAAACCATCAGCCACCAGAAGAGGCTGGAAGAGGCAAGAACAGATTCTCCCCAGAACCCTCAGAGGGACCTAAGCCCTGCCCACACCCTAATTTTGGTCTAGTAAGGCTGATTTCAGACTTCTCGCCTCCGGAACTATGAGAGAGTAAACCTCTGTTGTTTTAAGCCATCCAGTTCGTGGTAGTTGGTTATGGCAGCCCCAGGAAACCGCAGCATCTGGGCACAGGATTTCATGCATTGCTGGAGTGTGGCTCACACATCAGTCCCTTATGGAGGCCTCTCTTTGTGTGTTCCTTGGACAAGTATGTACTGAGCCCAGCTCAGTGGGAGGTGGGAGACCAGGCTGAGGATGCAGAGGTGGGTGAAGCACAGCCTCATGGCTCCTGTTCAGGGGAAACTGGCAAGCGTGCAACACTTCACACCAGGATCTGCTGTGATGGAGACAAGTGCACGGTGAGAGCGGCCCCTGACTCTGGGCGAGTCAGTCTCAGGGCAGGTGATTCTGAGATGATGCTCGTGAAGAAGAGATGGGAAATTCCTAGAGGAAATGCTGGCCAGGTGGAAATGAAGCACAGAGGGAGCTCTAGGCTGGGGAAACAAGAATTGCAAAGGCCCGGGGATGGGAAGCAGCCCAGTGTGTGTGTGTGGCTCTGAGCAGTTCAGGACGCCTGGAGCAGACAGCCTGCGGATGGGGATGAAGACAGGGCAGTGGGGACCGGGCTTGTCAGGTGGTCTGAGCTAAGGTGTAATTTGTAGGTGTTTCCCCTTTGAAGTTAACTGATGATGAAATGTGTATATTTAACAAATGAAGAACAATTGAAAGTGACTCTTAAGGGGCAGATGTGCTTACATTGAAACGTTCTGGAAGGCTACACAAGAAGCTCTTGTAGTACAGTGAGTAGAAGTGGGAGCTGGGTACCTTTTACTTTTCACTTTACACCCCCCCTTTTCTGTCACTTTCAACACGCATTTATAATAGCTTTAAACATTGTTTGAAGTACACCACCTTTTATCATTAGAAAATGATTTGAGACAGAGGGCAAAGGACTTCCTGAGTCCATTGTCCACATGAAAGTTCAGCCCTCTGTGGCCCAGGCTGGAGCCGCTATGAAAGGAGCCACATGAGTGGAGTCCCCGCTGGCAGCCCCTCCCCCTGAAGGGGTCTGCTCTGCGCAGCCAGCTACTCTCCCACCAACCCAGCCATCCTCTCCCTGGAGCCTGCGCTGGCTCCCCATTGCCTTCCATGACCTGGCGTCCATCTCCCTACTCACCATGTCCCCCACCCGCCATGGAGGGATGCCAGCAGGCACCATGCTTTTTTAGATCCTTGCCTTTCTTCCTCACCCATTCTGTGACCTTAGTCAAACACCTTTAAGTCTGAGGCTGGCCTTCCTCATAACAAAATATAGCTCAGAACATGACTGAACGATGTAAGAGCAGACAGTCATGCAGTGTCCATGCCTGGCTTGAAAATATTAGTCACTGTTATTGTTTCATGTCTCATATCTCTGTCCACCAGCGTAGGTGGGACCGTGTGTCACACTCTTTATGGGGCTGCCCTGTTAATGCCTGGTAATGCAGGGGCACGAAGCCAAGAGGCCAAGGGCCAGTAGCTCAGTGCCTGGTACCCAATGAAAGTGCAGCTGCTCTAGTTGAATTTGCAGGGAAGCATGCACTGATTCTCATAGATGAAGACCTCACACTTTAATGGAGAAATAGGATAAATGGTTCCTGGCTATTGTTTTTCTTGGACGCTTTTTCTTGGGTGCCTTGTGATTCATTTTCTCTTGACAGTGGTTCCTAGTCTTGGCTTCAGGTTGTGAAAGGATTTGTACTAGGGATTACCTGAATGAGTTTTGGGTCCCTCCCATAATTGTTCAAAAGGTCACCAAACCTAAAAGGCTCAGCCCCACCACCCTGGGCTATGTGCGATTAATTTTACAATAATGACGTATTTCTTTTTTTTTTTTTTTGCGGTACGCGGACCTCTCACTGCTGTGGCCTCTCCCGTTGTGGAGCACAGGCTCCGGACGCGCAGGCTCAGCGGCCATGGCTCACGGGCCCAGCCGCTCCGCGGCATGTGGGATCTTCCCGGACCGGGGCACGAACCCGTGTCCCCTGCGTCAGTAGGCGGACTCTCAACCACTGCGCCACCAGGGAAGCCCCGTACAATAATGACGTATTTCTATAAGCAAAAGTGAGAGGATGGAATTTTTTGTTGAGGTGTACGTGCAGCTTGGATGTTTGCTCTGATGTCTTGGCCTCGATGAGCATTTGGGGCCCTTTCTCGGCAGTGGCCTCTCTCTCCTCCGTGAAGCTCCCTCCTGACGAGTCCCCCTCCCTCTGCCAGCCCTCATCTTCCCGCTGTGGAGCTCCCTGGGGCCCCCTCGCTCCCGGCCTCTCTTAGCCGGTCTTTCCGCTCATTTAGTGAGAGGCAGAGGCAAGCCTCACAGAGGGTGCGGAAGAAACCCTACAGACAGTCTTCCAGTTGGGGGCACATCTCTGGGCTGAAGGAGTGCCCCTCTGATGCGGGAGAGGATTCCTGAGAAGCAGAGTGAGTGGCAGAGTGTCCTGAGCATGGTCAGTTCCGCACCAGCTCTCGGGGCAGCAGGGGACACTTCAAGTCTGTGACAGGAACCGTCTCTTGTCAGAGCTTGGGGAGTTTTTATGTCTCTGAACCAAATGTAAGCAAATACGTACAGCTCTATGTTTTTTTAAATTAACTGTTTTTCTTTTAAAAATAACATACGTGCATGGTAAAAAAAAAAAAAAAAAATGCAAACAGTGCACAAAGGTTTACCATGAGAGGTGGGTTCTGTGCCCAGAGCCCCAGTCCTTCACTCCCCCACACCATCCTTGCATCCCAAGGCCTCCACTATGACCAGTTTCTAGTGCATCTTCCAGAATAGTCCATGGATATATGAGCACCTACAGGTTAGTACATATGTATTTTGATAAAAGGACACATCTTTGTCATTTAGTCACAGAGTTCATTTTGCTGATGTTTTCAAAGCAAACTCTTTGAAAATATGAAAAACTCAGAATTGGTTGTGGACTCAGACAACACCACCAATTCTCAAAACCTCCCTGTCGTACCCTCTTTGCCACATTCCTAACACTTTCTCTCTCACTCGGTGACAGAGGCCTTGGGATGAGTTGAAATTCTCAGCTGTGCTCAGAAAAGCCTCAACCCGGCAAGTGATCTCACAGGTGAAAAAAGGACTAGCAAGACCCAGCCTGGCCCCGCTGAAGCCCATCTGCCGTTTTAAGCTAATTTTATGTTCAGAGAAGGTGGGATTCCGCCTCCTCCCTGCTCACCAGAAACCGTCTCCGTCCGCAGGGGGATGAGAACGATGACCTGTACTGTCGGACCTGCAGGCAGTTCTTCAGTTCCCTGCATAACAAGCGGGAGCACCTGCTGGGGAAGCAGCACCTGCAGAACCTCACAGGTAACCAGCCTCTGGTCAGTGTAGCCCCTTCTCAGCACCGTGCTTGCTGAGTGGGCTGGGGCCAGTTACTTAACCTCTCTGTGCTTCCACTACCTCATCTGTAAAGTAAGGTTGAAATCGCCCGCCTCACAGGGCTCTTCTGAAGATGGATATCAGAGCCGTGTGCAGGCCTGGTTCAGCTGAGATGTCACCTCCTCCAGGAAGTCTTTCCTGGTTTCAGACATGGGGTGGGGGGCTCCTGAGGGTGTGACATGTACCCTTTGCTTAGTAATTATCATCCCCTGCTACTGTCACCATCACCCTGCAACATGTGTGTGTGCACACACATGCAGAGACACAAGACACGCTCACACACAGTCATGACTGTGCGTGCATGCGCGTGCGCACACACACACACACACACACACACACATACACACACACGTCTGCTCTCCTGGAAGGAAGGAGCCATGTGGTTTAGGACATATCTCTTGCCCATAGTAGAGTTGCAATAAACATTTGATGAGGGAATGCACAAATGTACAGGAGGCTCACCTTTGTCTGGGGTTTGTAAGGAAATAAAGTGCCTTCAGTAATGTCTTGTTGAAGGTGAATAATGGCAATGAAAGTAAAAATGAATCTCATTACCTGAAATTGAGTATAATGTGTGCACTCCATATGCCTAGAGTTATACTGTGTAAATTACCCGCTGGAGAGGATTACGGCTCATTTCAAAATCTATAAAATCATGTACTAGGGGACCATGAGGCTGTAGATACATGTGGCTCTGATTCCATGTAACTCTCTGAGGGCCTTTGCAGTTATTTAAAGGGAAACAGACATGGGCACACCTTGCTTCGTCTCCTCCCTACACCGCCTACCAGTTTTATGTCAACAGTCAGGCTCTCAAAAGCGTTTCCATGTCTGCCTTAATTGCTGTGCTATTGTTGGAAAGCAGGGCTTTGAGCAGCTGCGGTATCCGAGTCTCGGTCCTGATGGGAGGGGCAGTAGCCACTCGCCCTTGCAGAGCAGGACCTCATGTGGCTCTCGTCGCCTGGGATCCCCCAACCCCCTGAGATGAGAGTGAACTCGGGAGTCGCCTGCTTCTGCTGTCACCGCCCCGGAAGAACCTGAGCGGTCCCCTCCCCAGCTCTCCACTCCCTCTCAGCAAAACCAGGGTGGGGAGCAGGTATGGGGCAAGGTCCCAGAGCTCTTTGTTTTTACAGTGTTATTGGGATCTAACTCGCACACCATAAAACTCACCCACGGAAAGTAGTTTTCAGTATATTCCCAGATAGGTGCAGCCACCACTGCAATTAAGTTTAGCACATTTTCATCACCGCAACAGAACCCATCCCCGTGAGCAGGAATGGTCCTGGGCAGCCACTAGGGTGCCCTCTGCCTCCATAGGAGGCTCTGGTAGTTTAATACTTGATGTCTCCTTTCTGTGGCGACAACAGTCATCCCCACCTTGGTGACATCTTAGGTGGGCAGCACCCTGTCACCATTAAGGACCTGAGTTTGAATCCCTGCTCTACCACTTACTGCCTTTATCACCTTGGCTGAACTCTCTGCCCACTGCCTTCATTTTTTCAAGGGCAAAATTGGGAATAATGATAATAATACTGACCTCACAGGGCCATCATAAGGAAATGAGTTAATCCCGTGATGCCTGGCACACTCTGGGTGTCCACTGTGTAATTATTATGAGCTTGGGGGCTGTAGCGGATAAGCAACTCCCTACCTCCCCACTTACTTTCCAGGAATCTCAAACTGCTAATGGTTCCCTGTAGCTCCCTGCTCTGTAATTTCTTTTCATCAAGCTGCCCTTCTACAGGAATGGCCTTCCCACCTCTGTGTAGTGGGTCTCACTCCTATTCATCCTTCAAAACCCTATCAAAAAGGTGAATAATAGCAAGTGCTGGGGAGGATATGGAGGAATCACATCCTGATTCACTGCTGGTGGGAATATCAAACGTGGCAGCCACTTTCGAACAGTCTGGCAGTTCCTCAAAAATTTAAAGTTACCATATGACCCAGCAATTCCACTCCTAGGTATGTACCCAAGAGAACAAAATATATATGTTCACACAATATTATGAATGTACATGACAACATTATTCATAGTAGCCCCAAAGTGGAAACAACCCAAACATCCATCAACTGATAAATAGATAAAATACGGTCCATTCGTGCAGTGGAATATTATTCAGCCTGAAGAGGAGTGAGGTTCTGATATGTACTGTAATGTCCATGAACCTTGAAAACAAACATGGTAAGTTAAAAGTCCAGTCACAAAGGACCACAGATTGTATGATTTCCTGTATATGAAATGTCCAGAATAGGGAAATCTGTAGAGACAGAAAGCAGGTTAGTGGTTGCCTAAGGCTGAGGGAGGGTGGGGGACGGGGGGTGATGGCTAAATGGAACCAGGGTTTTCTTGGGGAGGTGATGAATATGTTCTAAAAATGATTGTGGTGCTGACTGCACATATCTGAATATACTAAAAACCACTTAATTATATACTTTTAATGGGTAAATTGTATGGTATGTGATTTAGATCTCAATGAAGTGGTTTGGAAAAAAGATACCCATCTCAGTCAAGGAGCCCCTCTTCCAGGAAGCCTCCCTTGCTGCCCTCCATCTGGCACTGGTCCCAGTACATTCTTCTTGTACATCTGGGGACCTGGCGCAGGGACTGGGGTTCGGAAGGGACGGGCTTGCCCATATCTGGACAGAGGGCCAGACCCAGAGGAGCCGCTCATCTTATGCTCAAGGGGCTGACCTTTGACACAGGATGTCTTTGCTTTTTAGGGGAATTTGAAAAAGATTCTGCTGAGTGCTTGAAGCATCTGGAGCCTCTGGAGGGAGAGGTAGGTCAGAATTTGAACAAAGGGGACTCAGAGGAGGAAGCTGAGTGCCCTGATCCACTTCCACTCAGAGGCCTGATTCCAGAGACGAGTTTTGCTTCACTTGACCTACGTTTCTTGCAAGAGTTCATCTTTAAACTTCTGAAAAGTGAGTAGTCAAGTTCTACAACTCCCTAGTAACTTTGGGTTTTATAATCCTAGTAAGAGCAACCTACATAATAGGTTATAATATTAAGTGGAACAAAAAAAAAAAAAAGGAAAGGTTGCAACTACGAGAATAACAATAAGTGAATATAATAATCAGATGGGAAATAACCGAGGGCTTCCGGTAAGCCAGGCACAGGTCTAAGAAGTTTATACAAATTACCTTTTAATTGTGAGGTCGGTTATAGTATCACCTCCTTTTAAAGATGAGAAAAGTGCAGCACGGGGAGGTTAAGTAACTTGCCCATGGTTGTATAGATAGTGAGCTGAGACGGGATGGGTTCCAAGACCCATGTTCTTCATAACTTCCCTACGATCTCAACTATATTTATAAAATTATGCATATGTGAATCTGTGCAAATGTTAACAGTGGTTACCTCTGGCAGGCAAGAGGAAGGTACTGTTTTTCTTTATTCCTTTCTTATTTCCCCCAATGGATAGATGTCCTTTATATTATCAGAGAATGAAATAGGCAATATTAAAAAGGGTTTAGAGGATGCCCTGTACATGTCAGGGTCCCAGCTGTTGCCTGTGTGAAGTGCAGTTCAAAGAGGAGGGGAGGTTTTTGATGGAAAGAACAGATAAAGACGGCCTTCTCTCCCCTTTCCTCCCAGTCAAAGAATTTGAGCTCAGAGAGCTGAGGAAGACTTTAGAAAGAGCTCAAGTAGAGCAGGAGGCCCTGCAGAGGCAGCTGCTGGAGTTCCAGGTGAGGCTCTCGGGAGGGAAGTGCCCAGTTCCATCTCTGTAGCCCCATTGCTCAGCTCAGGGCCCTACCTGGTGGGGTCGGGAGGCAGGGGAAGAAGACCATGCGGTCCGATTGAAATAACGCATCACAAACCAAGGTGCCACTAGCCTCCCCACCATTCCTGCTAGAGCGTACTTGTTATACATTCTTGTAAAATACAGAGTGTTTGTGTTTCCGACGTAGAGAAATTGTGCTGTGAGCCTTCTTGTGCTGCGTGCTTGCTTCACTCAAGGTTCCGTGTTCATCCACGCTGCCCCATGGCATCTGGCCTGTTACTTCTCTACCCACTGCACGTCCCTGGCCCACTCCCCCCGTTGGGGGCCCTGGTTTGCACCAGCTTCCGTGACCACAGCTTAGGGTGTGACGAGCATCCTTGCTCGCATCCTGTTCCATGAGAGGAGGTCTGGACCACATACCACAAGGAGGGTTGCCCGGTGTGGATTGGGAATAATTTTCAGTTGGCAAGTGTGTGCACGTTTATGCATTGATGGGTGGTACCTGTTTTGATGAAAGCAAAGAGAAGATGTGGTGAAACCGTGCAAAAAGTCACAATTTTTAAATGTGTTATTTTATTCTGAATAAAAATTAAGTTATATTCCTTGAAGAAAATTTTGAAATTTCAGAAGACATTTTGAAATTTTTCAGAAAAATGAAATCCAATCATTAGAGAAGCATCATTAACATTTGTGTAGCATCTTCTAGTCTTGTTTTCCACAAATATCTAAATCTGTTTACATAGATATATTTGTATATTATCTATATATTTATATATCTCTGTATTTATCTAAATAGGTAGAGATAGGTAGGTAGGTAGGAAGAGAGACAGAAACAAAGGAAAAGTTGGAATAAAAACCACACAGTTTGATTCCTACGGTTGCCATTTCATTCCATAGTAAGTAAGCATTTTCACATCTCCTCCGATGTCCTTGTATGAATTGCCTCTCATGACTGCAAAATATGTCATTATGTGGATGAACCATAATGGACTCCCATTTCCCAGTTGGTGGACATTTTGGCTACATCCAATCATTATATTATAATAACACTGTGAACACTCTTGTCAGTGTTTACACTCATCCTTGAGCTCCCTGGGGAGGGATTCCTAGAAGCCTGGTGCTTACTTAAAAAGCACAAGCCTTAAAGAGGTCCAGAAAGGACGTGGCATCTGCTGTGGTCCCGAGCACAGGCTCTCGCGGTTGGAATCCAGGCTCTTCCCCCAGCTGTGTGCCTCGGGCTCCCCGCTTCATTTCTTCACCTTCCCGGTTATCAGTCTCTCCATGCACCACTGGGGGGAACAGTAGGTCCGCCCCATGGGGTGGTTGTGAGCGATTACACGAACTGATCCACCTGGCAGGGTACCAGTGGACGTCACGGCATCGCCCTCTGGGGCTGTCCCCTCCAATGCCTCCAGCAGATTCTTCATCCCACACTTCTGTGCACCACAAAGTTCCACTGCAATTCCTGTTTCCTTTGAGTGTAGTTTTGTTACAGAACTTTGAAGAACAGTGAATGTTTAAAAAAAAGTAAAAGGAAATACCCCAGTTATCTGAAGCCATCGTGCAATGACCCCCCTGACATAGGTCCCTGGAAATCGGCCCTGCCAGGGCTCCTCGCTTAGCAGCCTGGGCGGCAGGGAGAGTGTGTGCCGGGGTGGGGAGGGGTGTCCCTTACTGTCCGGGACCTTCTTAGCAAGGCATCTCACTGAACTCCCAGCCCACATCTTAGAGGAGGACCACCACGCCTGCCTCCCAGGGATGCTGGGAGGGGCTGAGGGCGGGACACACAGTCAAGCCTTCTCCAGGGTGGGAGCCCACCCACTGCACACACAGTCCTTGCCCTGGGGCTGCCCCATGTCATCCTGGCCCCCAGGGCCCTGTAGATGGCAGCATGAGAAGGGCTGGCTCAGAAATCAGGCCCAGCTGTGGGCCTGGGCTCCCGTCCGTGGTCATGGGGCTGGGGCAGGCCACTGACACCCCGGAACCTCGCTTCCCAGGTGGGGACACATCCTCAGCAGGAGGGTGAGATACTGAGTGATATAAAGGGTCCAGCACGAAGTAATAGGATTTTTAACAAGTGGGGGCTGTGTCAGTGGGGTAGCTCTTTTACTTACTGGAGGTGTGGGGAAGGGAGATTGACTATGTTCATGGATTCTGAGAGCAGCTGCAAGACCCTCTTTGTTTAATTGTTTATTTATTTGATTACTTATCTACTTGGGGCCTATTTACTTATTTACTCTTAATTATTTGTTCATTTACTTATTTACTTTCTCATTTACTTATATACATATTTATATACTTATTTATTCACTTGTTCGTTCATTCATTCATTCATTCATTCATTCCCTTGGAAAGTCTTGGAGCTAGCTGCCTGAACACTTTGGTGTTCTTTTAGAATCGGCAGCAGAGGCTGGAGGTGGAGCTGGCCGGCCTGAAGACCTACGGGGTCGTCCTGGAGAAGGAGTTTGAGAACCTGAACATGGTCCTGATGCTGTCCCACTTCGGCCTGCGAGTAATAGACATGAGTGAGCCAGCCGTCCGGGGCAGTCCCTTTCCCCCTCTCCCCAGGCCACATGCATGCTCCCTCCAGGTCCTCACTGGTCTATAAAACCGAGGCCCAGAGGTTCCTGTCCATTCATTTATTCATGCCTGCGTCCCCCACTTCTTTACTCAGCATGCTTCCCACATGGCCAGTGCGTCCAAGTTTGCTGCTGGGTGCTGGGGGATGTACGGAGATGAACGATGATACTGTGATCCTAAATCCAGCACCCACTGGGTGCCAGGCCCTGAGCTGGGCACCGCCAGGGGATGAAGAGGTGGAGAAGCCCCTGGCCTCAAGCTCTAATCAGGTGGACAGATCCTCAGTCACTAGACTGTCGGGGTGCAGTGTCCCAGCGGAGAGCTTCCCTCCATGGACAAGGTGCTGTGGGCACTCAGTTGGGAGGCAGTTCTCTATCTATGGGAGGTGGGCTTCTAGAAGGACTTGACAGAGGAAGGACCCAAGAGGACAGTCCCAAACTCCTGAGGCAAAGAAGGGGCCAGAGGCACAGCAGGCAGGGAGCCCCGCGTGTGCCACGGAGGTGAGGGAGGGCATAGAGCACATACGTGGCTGTGTCCTGTGCAGGCCTGGTGCAAACGCTCCTTTTTGAAGAAAAAAATCATGAATACCATTTCATTGTAAAATATTTAAATGTGACCTTTTGGAGAAACATAAAATGTGACCATTCCCCTTCACTCCCCACTCCCCTTCAGGATCCCTTCCCTGCCCTCCCTAGAAGCTTTTACTGTTCGCATCTTCCTGCATCTCCTTCCTTCCAGCCGTTTTCTATCTGTTTATGAATGGGGTAGTGTCAAAAATCATTAACAACAGGAATTTCTTGAGACATGGCTGGCCATGAGCTGAGAGCAGGGCCCCTGGGGCCCCTGCTGGACCAGGCCTTAACCCCCTTGGTTGCCGGATTGGGCAGCTCCTGGGCAGTGGCTGTTTACCAATCAGTCTGGCAGATGTCAGTACTCTCAGACCTGGCGTAGCCGCACTGGTGCATTACTGGCTGGCCACCAGCACTGTGCAGGCGAGAATCAGACGGATTTGTTCACTGACAGCTTGTCTGTTTGCTATGAATGGGCAGCACCCCAGTCCCCTGCTGATTCACGCTGGGTGGGACACTTGGGGTTTCACATCACGGTGAAGCAGTAACTCCAGAACACATCACATCTGGGCACAGGGTGGAGCATCCCTGCTCTATTAATAGTGACGCCTCAAGGCCAAGGGCCCTGGCAGTGAGGCGGATGGAGCAGGTCCTGCTGCTTTGGAAATTTGGAGACTTGGCCTCTTTCCTTCCTGTGCCCTCTCCTCACCATCCTCGCTTGAGAGCATTTGCCCTGGCCAGATTCCATGTGAATTTTTATCCTTACATAGTGTAAGTGGGGCTTCCCTGGTGGTGCAGTGGTTGAGAGTCCGCCAGCCGATGCAGGGGACACGGGTTCGTGCCCCGGTCCGGGAAGATGCCACATGCCACGGAGCGGCTGGGCCCGTGAGCCATGGCCGCTGAGCCTGTGCGTCCGGAGCCTGTGCTCCGCAACGGGCCAGGCTTGAGCGCTCCTAAGAAAGGAGGATTACACAGGCTCAGGTTCCTACTGGATGTGGGAAGCAGGTAGGAGGTGTGTTCTCCAGTGTTGATAAGCCCATGGGCCCCAGCTCTCTCTCCCTCCCTGTGGCCTTTTTCTTTTCTTGTGAATTGGATCCATTTACTGCAGTCATGACAGCAGCAGCTCTGGGGAGCAGATGAAGGATGCTCTGGGGGTTGGTTAATGTCCACGTGTTCTCACGTGGGTGTCCTTCCCAGGGAAGGCATGATGGAAGGCATTGGATGTGGTGCCAGGACAGTATAATGTAAAGGAAACCAGCTTTTAGAAAACATTTACCGATCACTGGCTCCAAATTTATCAATGCATCTGGTGTCAAGTAATGTCCAGAAAGTGGTTTTGTGGGTTCAGCTCCTTCTCTGCTCCCACCACCCTCTGTTTCCTGTGGTTCCTCTCAGCCCACTCACTTGGTTCACTCCATCCAGAGACATCCTCCGAGCCCTGGGCTCGGTGCTGGGAAGCCAGAAATTCCAGGAGACATTTTATGACCTCAGAGAGCTCCAAGTCTCAGACGGTGACACTGGGGAATAAATTGGGGCTGATGATGTGACCCAGCCATCCTGCCTAAGCCTGAGTTGTGTCCAGTGGAGCACCAGGTGGGCCCTCCTCTCAGACCCCCTTCTCCAGGACCCCGTCCGAGTTCTCTGTCCGGGACCAGTGCACAGTTGTCTCTGCAGGCATGTCTGAGATGAGCAGAGCAAGCATGGGTCGTGCTTCATCTGGAGGAGCCCTTGGGCTCCACAGCCTTTTCCTGGCAGTAAACTGTCTGCTCTCCCTTTCCAACTCTGCAGTATAAAGCAGCGCCCACCCCCGCACCGACGGAACCCCAGGACGCATCCTGGACACACGGGAGTCAGCTTCCAAAGATGTATTTCCCTCAGTGGAGGAAGAGTGGAAGATCCTGGGGTCCTGCGGAGGGGACAGCCAGGACGGCTCTACTGACCCAGGAAAAAATAAATTGTGCATGTGTGTCTGCACAACAGGCGCAATCTGTCTTTTGTCTGGGGCTTGGCAGTATCTGCCCTGTAAGTGTTCCTTCTGCGGACTAAAAGTTGAGCAGCTTTAATGTGGGAATATGTTGGTGGATTGTGTCTGCCTCTGCAAGCACAGAGGGTGAGTGCAGTGCATACCTGCTCGCAGGGCACACTGTGCCCAGCAGCCCCGAGTCTCTGGCGCACTTTGAGCAGCCCCTCTCCTGCTCAGTCTCTTGGACACTTTGGTTTCCTCTACTGAATTATAAAGACAGTACTGCTGCCCATCAGCCTCGAGGGATGGGATGAAGATGGAGTAACACAATCATCTTGTATGAATTTAGGTCCCCTGGAAGCTGACCTTGAGATCAGGACCTGCACGAAGCAGGTAGTTTGGGAGGTGATCCAAGTAGGGGAGTGGGGAACTGAAACAGGCAGGGGAGGACAGACATGAGAGGGTGCACTGTATCAGCAAGAAACTGTGGCTGAACCCCCAGGGAAATTCTGGGAGCCAGGGTAGGACCCATACCTGAGAGCATCCCACCCAGTGGCCTGGAAGGTGGGGTATTTATCCACCAACTCCCTTCCATCAGTGCTGGAGGATGGCTTCCAGGAAGGGTCAATTCCTTTTCCTTCCAGCCTGCTGTGCAGGTGACAAGGCGGGGGGGGGGGGCAGGAGGCCAGAAGAGCCTTGAGCAGGGAAATGTACGCTGCAGTTGGAAGGCTGGCCAGCGTGCCCCCAGGGGTGGCAAGGACAAGGGATGTGGGTAGGGCACCAGCAGTGTCTGTTATGGGGCTGTTGTAGGGCTTTATAGGCTATTAATTGATATACAGCTACAAAATGGGGGCAGGGGTCATGGTGGGTCCTGTACACACACGGGTGTAGACATCAGGGACTAGGTCTGCCTGCCTGAAGCAAAGACCCGACCACAGTGGCTTCACCACATAACAAAAGGTCCAGCAGTGAGCAGCAGGGACAGGGACAGCAGCTGCCCAGAGGGGCCCACGCACCTCTTTCTACTCAGTTCCCTCCAGCACTGGCTCTTGTGTGTATATCCATTGCCCCCAGGGTAGCTCTCCAACCTCCAGCATTGCTTCTGCGCTCCAGGCATGCTGGGGGCAAAGGGAAGGGCAAAAGGGAGGCTCCAGCTGGTCAGCCTCCTTTTACAAAGAGCTTCCAGAAAGCCCCACTTTCTAGAAGAGTTTTCAGAAAGCAACTTCCACGTGTATCTCAGGGACAAAGATGGCGGCATTTGGCCAAGACAGCTGCAAGGGAGGATGGGAAATGTATTTTAGGTGAAAACAGGACCACCCAGAGCAAAGTTGGTTTGGGTTAGTGAGGAAAAAGGAGTTAGAGAAGAAATGGGAGGGCAGAGGGCAAGCCCCAGTGGACACCATTTCTAGAGGAGGAAGCCAGCTTGTGATCCTGTGGAGGTCTGTGTGCAGTCTGGCCGGTGTCCTTGTGGAGGAGCCCAGCGTCTCTCTGCTCAGCAGATGACGATGGAGTGTCTCTGAGCCTGTTTATGGCAGCATTCAGCCGGGGTGATAGCCGCTGCTCTAGCGCTGTTGAAAGCCTGCTCTGTACCTGGTGCTTTGTACACATTTCACTTAATGCACCCAGTGCCCTCGCAAGGCAGCTCTGCTTGAGCCACTTACCTACTTATGGAAAGACAGGAGCCCAGTAATTGGCCCGAGATGAGATGCTGTTGGCAAGGGGGCCAGATTTGGTTTCCATCACAACTGTATCCTATGGAAGTTCAGCTCTTTGCTTTAACCGCATTGGCCTACAGGACTGGTAGCTGCTTTGCAGGAGGAAGGTCATCTGCCTCTTTCCAAACAACTCAGTCCCTCCCTCCCTAGTTACCCTGTCCCACATTTACCTACAGCTCAAAGTCACACTCCCTGAATCTTGCTGAATAAGAACACCCAGATTATCCAAATTAGACCACAAAGAGGACGGCCAGATTTAGCAAATAAAAATACAGGACACTAGTTAAATTTGGATTCAGATAAACAATGACTTTTAGTATAAGTATGTCCCATGCAATATTGAGGACATACTGAAAAATCGTTCAGAAAATTTTAACTGGACACTCATATTTTATCTGACAGCCCTAACACGCATGCCTTGCTGGCTGTGTAACTCACCAAGCTCAGCCCCTTCATTCTATCTGCAGGAAAACATGTGGATTTCTCCCAGGAGGATGCACAGCACGTTGGTGGTGGCCCCTGAACTATATGCAGGTCCCAGAATCTGAGGCCCTGACTTTTTCGCCAAAGCAAGAGAAGCAGGCGATGGCAGGTCCTAAGAGAGGCAGGGCGGGCCTCCTCGGGTGCAGGTGCAAACTTTAGCCATGGATGGTGGGCAAGGTTGATTCTAGCCTCAGCTCTGCTTCCAAAACCCTGCGGGGCCTGGAGCCTATCCTTTCATTTCTGTTTCCCCACTTGCTGCAAGGGAGCTGGACTAGCCCGGGTCTAACACTTCAAGTCTGAATGCCCAAACGCACCCTGACGTATGTTACCTCCACTTAGCAGCTGTGGGATTCTGAGCAAGGCGTTTCCTCCTTGAGCCTCAGTTTTCTGCTCTGTAAAATGGGAATGTCAACACCTGGTGGGGTCACTGCCAGAACCAAGGAGCTGTGCCTTATAAGGCACCCTGCAGAGGGCCTGCAATCTGCAGGGGCTCTGGACATGGATGTGCCTGTTGTCCCTGACAACCGCTCTGCCAGGATCCGTTCTGGGACTCATGGTGACAATAAGACCTTGATCGACCACCTGACAGTTGCTGAGTGTGTCTCATGCTCATCCCCACCGACAAGCCTCTTTGCTGAAGTGACTCCATTCACCAGGCACCATGGGGTCTGGCTTGGGTTTAGGTTTCTCACGCCCCTCCAGGGCACTGGCAGTGCAGGACCCCATGCCACTGTCCTAGGTGGGATGCAGGGCTGGGGTGGGGGATGATGCTATTGGGGTAGTCCAGATGCAGAGAGGTCCAGATGCAGGAACTCAGTGGAGCCTCCTTCTAGGTGCCCCACCCTCCTCAACCCAAGTCTTGGCCCAGAAATCTGACTCCCTCCAGATCCAGTCACTGAGGCCCTCCAGGAGGGGTGCCTCCACAGGTCCGGGCCCAGCCTCTGCATGAAGTACCCCAGGGAAACCAAATCACTGGGGGTGATGGGGCTCACAACAAGACCACGATGCCCTCAGACTGCAGGAGTGACAACTGTACTGGGTATGCCCCCTGGCCAGCAGGGCTGAAACGTAATTATCTGAGCTGGACTTGTGTTCAAGGAGGCATAGAAAGAAATAGAATTGATGTGTTACCCAGCACACACAAATAGAGTTAAAACCGAACCCATGCAAAACAATAGTCACGCTACTTCAGGGGTACACTCTGACACTTTGTCTTCTTTTCTATTTCATATTTTAAAACTTGGGCACAGCCCACCAAATTGATTTCAGGACTTCCTAATAGGTCATGGCTACAGTTAAATAAATCTTTCTTGGGCATCCTCACTGCAGGCCCCTTAGGTACGATTACTGGAATCTATGACTGAGCAGGTTGGAGTTCTGGCCTGAACTCTTTCCTCTGTTCACTCTGGGAGGCAAGAAACCTGGGCTGGGCGTCTAGCTCTGCCTGCCTGCAGGGATGGGCTGTGGTGGGTGAGACACTGAGAGCTCTGAGAGTAGAGGTGGTTGATAATCCTCCTGCTGTAGAATGAAGTAGAAGTACAGCTGAGCTGTTAGGAGCACTGGCTCTGGAGCCAGACTGGGTGTGCAGACACTGCCACTTGCTAGCTGTGTGA